CCCCAAAACCCCAAAACCCCAAAACCCCAAAACCCCACACTACCAGACTCTGATTGACATCTGTTATTAGTTATTTTAAAGTTCTGGATAAATTTGAATTTGACAAAAGAAGTCTAAAGTGGCATAAAATAAGAGAAGAGAGATTTTCTAAATGATATGGATAGACGAATACAAAAGCCAAAGATATATACTGTCTAAGTAGAATTAACTAAGAATAATTTCTTTATCTCATGATATCATGCTCTACTGGGTTCGGTCTAATGCCATTCATCAGCATATATCTGACGACTTGGTCTGGGACTTCTCGAAGTACATCCTCGTGAAGAAGGGTGACATCGGATGAGTATTTATTAAACTCAACAAATTGTACTATGTCTTGCTTTGCTACATTTCCATATTGATCTCTAAGAAGACCATCATCGCAATCAAGTTGTTCCATTCGCTGAAAATCTGCATTTCCAACTCCAATTATAATGATGCTCATTGGTAAGTTACTAGCTTCGACAATTCTAAATGTTTAGTTGGGAATTTTACTTACGATGAAACTGTCTCCTTCATGTCAGTTATAGCTCCATCTGTGATGTACAACATTATGTGATACTCTGACAAATGTTTTCTCTGCTCAATAAACGTTATCATGGTTTCCAGTCATGGTGAAAAGTTTGTTGGGGCGTACAGTCCCAGTCCACCCACCATGGCTTCACGGTAAGCCTGCAAGATGCCTTGGACCCCTTCGACTTCAGGGTTTTCTTGACCGTTCAAGTGGAATCAGTGAGACACTTCGTTGATGCCTCAGAACCTGGGCTCGCCACCGAACCCGAACACTGGGAACATTCTGTCTGAGTCGTAAGGCTCAAGAATGTTGCCTACTTGGAATATAGCTTGTTCGTACTGGTTCATCTTGCCTGGATTGTTAGGGTCAACATAGTGCAAAGAACTCGGTGAAGACAATTCTCCGTTCGACGCTGTGAAATCAATGGCCACACTCAGAGACATGATCCATCCACTCCGGATGTAGTCGACCATTGTGGGTATCTCAATCAGATCGAAGGAGTCGAAAGTCAGAGTTCCGTATGGGTTGCCTTGCTTTTTGATGATGTCTTGAGACTGACCGACTCTAGAAGCCATTTCTTTGATAGACCCTCTGACCCTTCCGTAAATCCGGTGCTTGCCCGAATTGTGATAAGACCAGACTTCGAAGATCAAGGGAATGTCTAGGTCTGAGTTGCAGAGGAGTTCTCATTTGATCTCACCTAGGTTCCACGATGGAGTGAGTGTGCCCTTGATAACAGGAGACTCATAGACTTTAACAGAGGTGGTGACATCATCAGGAGAAGGATCATAATTCCTTCATCTTCTGATAACTAAGAAGGGATTGTTGGTAGAAACTAACCCAAAAAGTTTGGTTTTGGATTTTAAGTCGTCTCATCTTCAACTAATGTTCACTGTATGATTGCTTTCTTTAACACTGTCTAATGTGACTAATATCTGTCCATTTTTCCTTTTAGGCTTCTTGGCATATTTTAAATCTGCTGTAAAGGTTTGATTTTGAGCTGCTAAAAGCTTTGAAATTTTTGTTTCTCATTTCCCAATTTCATCTCTACCATTTACATCTTTATCGTAGACTTCGAACCTAATTTCCTGGCTCTTCTCAAAGAAGTAATCCAGCACAACGGGTGTTGCAAAGTCAGGGTTGAGGTTGTTGTCGATGGTCTCAGTTTGAGCAATCTTGGTCCATGGGGTTCTCTCATCATTCTTAAGCCAGATCTCGACATAAGGATCAGAAACAGTAATTAAATCAAGATCTTTGAGGTTTCTACAAGATATAAATAGCTGTATCTTTTGTCTTAAGCTTGAAATCTCGTGTCCCAGTAGGGTATTGGGCTTTAAACTATCACTAGCTGGAGGGGAGTATGCTTCCATTTTACTTTAAATTATTTCTATATTATTCTAACATCTCGGGGTTTTGGGGTTTTGGGGTTTTGGGGTTTTGGGGTTTTGGGGTTTTGGGG